AAATTAAAATAAAATAATAATTATTAATAAAATTAAAATTTATTAAACTAGAAAACCAGCCTAGAAATAGAAGAGAAGGGAAGTTCTTCGCTGAACTTTTTTAGATTTGTCATATTTTTCTCATTATGTCAGAGGAGCTTTCCCAGATATTTACTCATAAAACTCCGAAGCCTGTTCCGACACCTTGCCAGCTAAATTAAGCTATTAACTAATGGCACTGTCTGATAAATAAGAGCAATGCATGATAATGATTTGATGATTTGATTTTCAAATTTGTAGCACACACCTCCAGGGGGTTCTGGCATCAAATTATTGGTGAGCCTAATTAATCTAACCTAACCTGTCTTAATCACGTTAAATGTTGTATTTTTTATGGACACTTCAATTTGTCATAGATGTGAAATTGCAAAGCAAAGTGAGGCAAAACTCTTCATACAAGAAAGGTGTTGATGTTGGAGCGGTCTGTCAACTAAAGTCACACAAACTGTCTACTTTGGGCTCTGGGGGAGCACAGCGCTGCTGTTGTTCTGTCTTGTCCGTCTGTACGCTGTCAGTGTCTTCTTTTCTCATCGCTAAGTTATCAGTTTTAAATTCGTTTTTCACTGCGTGAGAAAATAAGCGTGTGGTGTGAGACCGTGTGAGAAGTGTTAATTGCATTAGTCCCATGCTTAGTGCATCAGAGTTGGCAGCTATGTGAAAATCTATATTTTGAAAATGCAAACACTATACACTATAGAAAATAACAGTCTGATCTTACATTTTCTTATCCCTCTTATAACACTAGTGCAAACTAGTTCTATACTGCAATATAAGAACAAATGCTGTTCTGATGGGGATGCTAACTTTTTGCCTATGACACATAGCTTTAGCCTCTTTTAACACAATATCATGTATGTAGCCATCAAGTGCAGTATAGTAGATATAATCCCCCTCACAGGTTTCTTACTTTTAAAAAAGTCATTAAAACGTCAAACAGAGGTGGCATTTTCAACCAATTCATTGAACAGTTGATTAATTAAAGTAAAATCTGATGTGGAAGCAAAAGAGTAAGCCAAAGAGACAAAAATAGGTTTTAAAAAAAGTGCTGGAACATTTCGTTGCAGCAAACTTTGGTGTGGACTGCAGCTGTGTATGCGTGTGCCGTATCTATATATGCTGCACGTTGCAGTGACAGCTCATTGATATTGGCAGGGCAGCTCTTATCAACCCCTTATCTCTGTCTTCCATTATTGAGGCTGGTGTTAACCCCTGGCTCCCTGCTCCACTGCTCCCCCTCTGCTCCTATATGGTCCATACATCTTCAGTAGAAGGAGCGGGGTGGAAGAGGAAGGAGAGGAAAGGAAGAAATTATGGGAGGGAGGGAGTTTAAGACAAAAGAAATAAAAGCTTGCATGCCTGCACTGCATCATTAAGAACAATACAACCACTTCTTCATTACCTGTGCTCTCTACTACTTCTTTGTCTCCCTTTCAAGCCATATACTTTACTCCCACTCTTTTCTTCCCTCCTTCTGTTTTACTATGCCCACCACTGTCTACTCCACAGCGAGGCAAGACACAGTAAATATGAAGCCAAAAGAACACATACATACACCACATACACTACAGCCAAACAAATAACTTGTTCTCATTTACTTCTTGTGTCAAGTGGTTTTTCTATAACACCATTTTAATTAAAAACTAATCTTCAGAATTAATCTTTTTTTATCGTGATCTCAAGGGCATCTCCTTTATGAAGAAAAAAAAAAAAGTTGTGTTGATACTGGGAAAAACAATGAGCACAGTAATCTATGACATCAGATACGGAGCAGAGTACCAGAGAACACACATCGTTGGGGCAGCGCTTGAAGATAAGGTCTGCCAATCACTTAGAGTGACATGCCATTTTCATGTATTTAACCAGGAGCGCTGCTATTTGCAGAGTTGATAAATACATGCTGCACTGCGTCCAAAATCAACCACATGCTTGTTAATTTAAACATGAAAAAGAAATTAAGAGTGACACTTAGGAAACCAGTTCATATGGTTTTCCATGTTTAATTAATTTTATCTGGTATGCTGGAGATAAAAACTATGAAACAAACTGTGAGAAAAGAGCAGACCTTAATGAAATAACTCAACTGACCTTCTGATCGACCAAGCTGAACTAAAATCAATTATTTCTGATCCTCCTTTGATAAAATCTAGTGATCTGCTAATGGCTAGCTGCTGACAAGTCCTGGCTATTTGTAGATCTGATAAAAGGCTTCAGGGTGTTC